TACCGAAATTGATATGTGGTTTGTTACGTTTGTTGTTTAAGCTATTTTGTTTACTAAAATGACATAAAAAGCCCACCTTTTTGTAAAAGATTATTTTTGGTCCTAAAAACCGAAAATTTACAATTATGGCACATTTTTGGTAAAAATGACACTTTAGGTCTTTTAAGGCCAAAGTTTGCATTTAAGGCTAGTTTTAAGTAGAAATAACATTTTTAACACACTTATGTCAAAAATATCATTTTTGGCTTGGTTTTATGAAAATCTGTATTTTCGGCCCATTTATAAATAAATTCATCTTTTTGGCCCAAGTTTTAATAAATTCACATTTTTAGTTCTTCTTATCAAAAATTTACATTTTGGCACAACTTTGTTGAAAATGACATTTAAGCCCACAAAAGTCCAAAAATTTACAATCGTGGCCCAAAAATTCGTAAAAGCCCAAAAGAAGCCCATTTATGAACTTTTACACTCCTAGCCCTTTTTAAGATTCACAAATACCATAAAGATTCATATTTATCAAAATACATCCTTTTTGGTCCCTTAAAACCGTGAGTTACATAAAATACCTCATTTTTGGTTATTTTGTCATTTTTTGCCCTCTTATGCAAATTTCTTAGTTTTAAGTAACTTTGATGTATTTTAAAACCTTTTCTTTGCATAATAAGTTGAAATAAGTGTTATGTTCTACAAATATCATCACATTTTTAGTATATCTTCAAGTTCATGGAGTTTATAACACATAATCACACATATATCATGAAAAACACACAAAATCATGCATACACACATAGATCTACACAAAACAACTTGTATTCTCCCCCCAAAACATAGTAAAAACCGAAAATAGGGGGTATGAACTCACTTTGCTTTGGAGATTTCGGTTTTTGATGAAGAATGATGAGGATCTCGGCCCTAGAAGCTTCCTTGAGGGGGGGTTTTCGAACCTAAGATGGATCTAGAGCATGGATTATGAAATAATGTGTTAAGGAGTGAAGATTTGTCATATGATGAAGTTAATCACTAGAATGTAAGGTATCTTACCAAGATGATGATGAACCTTGATGATGTGTTCTTGAACACACACACAATCCCACACGATTTTTCCTTGGGGCAATGAGGGCTTAGAGAGGACTTTGTGTTGGAAAAATGAGAGAGATGGGGGTGTGTTGGGGGTTCTCAGCCGAAAGTAGAAGAATAAGAAGGAAGAGGGTGATTTGACATGAGGTTATTAAATGGAGGATTAAGGCTTAACTTAGATAATTAGCCTAGATATCCACTAGATAACTATGAGGTGTCACATGCTTAATCCCCATCTTTCTCCCTTTTTTTATATAAAAAAACCGAGAATTTGGGTGAGAAGAGGGGAATAAGAGGTGTGTTGGGCTATAATTTGAATACTCTTGAAATTACAAGGCCCAAATGTGGGAATTTTCGGCTTCTCTTTAGGGTTTACGGCCCAAAGGTGGTGAAGGAATGGGGTTTACGGCCCAATAGGGCTTATGAAACCATTTACGGCCCATCAAGGCCCATGATGATAAAGTGAGACATTTTAGGCCCAATAAGGTCCATGAGAAGTCTTATGGCCCAAAATGCTATCATTTAATGAATATGGGTCTATTTAAGGTCCATATAAGGATTCTTAGCCCATAATGACCAAGTTATGAGTTTATTGGCCCATTAGGCCCAATAAGGGGATCTTGGTCCATTTTGAGTTTGAACTAGGATATTAGGGTTTTAAACCCATAGTTGAGTATATGAGATGCATTGAATTAGGTTTTGAACTTCACTCATGAGTTTTAACTCAAATGGTTGATTTGGAATGAGTATAGTACATGATATCAACTTTGATTACAAGTTTTTCAAGAGTTGATTTTTCATGAAGACAGAATTTCTTAGCTAAAAATGCTAGTTGTGACAAATTATGTCAAATAAGAATTTTTGGCCCATTAGAAAGCCCAATAATGGATTGCAGCCCATTGATACTAAAAATAAGGCTTTAGACCCCATAGGATCAACTTGAGAGGTTATCGGCTCATTAGGACCCAATAGGAGAGTCTTGGCCCAAGTAGGGGTTTTGGGCCGAGAAAACTTGGACTAAGGCCCAAAGTTGAGTAATCTTAGCCTATCGGGTTAGGTTTTGGGCTTATACAAGGAGATTATATTGTTCAGGAATTCACATCTTAACCTAATTTTGCCAGTAGTGACAATCCATCTCAGCCGTATGCAACTCCTCCTTTTCTGTCTTCTCCTTGCTTAGCAGCTTCACCCTCCTCAATAGATCCTTATTAGTCGCCCTCCACATCTTCTCCTACTCCTTTAAGGCTGATTCAGCCCTCTCAGCCCGGATCTTTAGGTCAGTAGAGACATGATCAGAGAACTGAAATGAGAGTGACATCAAAAAACGTAAAGGGTAAAACATGAAAAACAAATTTATACTGACACTTACAGCTTGAGAAAAAGAGACTAACTTCAAAAGTGCATCCTCAACTCTGAGGTTTTCTAAGCTTAAGTCTGTGACCTCAGTAGTTTTTCTCTTCCTGGATCTCGAGTCTTCACCGTCAAGTCTGTGGAGGTTCTCTTGGGAGGGAGAGAAGATGAGGTCTTCTCCTTCTTCACTACCAGTTGGTCGCTAGACATGGTCGTGTCAAGATCGGCGAGGGTAAAGCGGGCACCGGAGTGCGTGACCTTGGATCCTAAACATAAAGAAAAATCCCTACGAGTTCAGGATCCTTCACATTAGAAAAGAAAAATATGAATTAAAGATTCTTACCTGTCGACATGGGGGCAGTAGCAGAAGAGCTTTCCTGAAGACTAGGCGGCTCGAATCGAAAAGATCTTATGGTCTCAAACAAAGCAAGAAAGCTTGTTATCTTATCTTCTGTATCTTCAGCGACAGGGGCAAGATCCTCAAACTTGAACGCTACATCACAAAAAATAAAATAAGAAATTAAATCCCAGGATCCCTAAAGAATAACAAAATATCCTACCATTTTAACCCATCTCTCTGGCAAAGAACTTCCATTAGGAATGGAATCACGTCTCACAAAGAAACACCTCTTCTTCCAAGCACCATCGTTATGCTTGGACTTTAGAACAAGAAGTGGTTTGTCTGGTTTGACCTTGAACAAGAAACAAGAAGAGCCAAAGGTGGAAAGATCATAAATAGAATCCAACTCCGGTAAACCAATGTCCAAATTATTGGACTGATTTAGATGATCGACCCAATAGAGGATCATCCAAATCGTTGGCATAACCTAGACGTAGGAGAGTTAGGTGACCTCAAAGAAATCAAAGAAGATACCAAAGAAAGGATACGTTAGACCTAGAGAAAAATGGTATTCCGGGAAGCAAACCCAGGTGGGTGAGATGAAATCTGACTAGACCAAGGCATCAAAGGTTTTGAAGACAGCGCCATCAGGAAAAGCGTCTTTATTCTTCAAAGATTGAATATCCTCATTGTCGAAAGAACATGACTAATCGTGAGCCAGGAACTTTTGATCAGTAAAATCATCATCGGAAGGAGGAAGTGTGATAGCACGAGAACGAGCAATTTTCTTTTCTGTGATCGGAAAAGAAGGAAAATGAAATGAAAAAAGGAAGAAGAACGTACCCTTGAAAGTAACCGGAGATGATCAAGAGTAAAGCTGGAAAGGTAAAGGAAATCTTGAACTGATTACCCTATTTATTCTGGTGACAAAAGAGAGAGAATACGATTTAACTCCGTAATGATGGTTATGGAACGAATAAAATTTATCCGTTAGGGTTCGAAATTCAAATTCCTTATCTTTATTTATTTAAATTATACATTTAATATTTAAGAATAACCTAAATATTCTGCAGGTATAATTTGGGGGTAATTTTTAGGGCCAAGATCCTCAACCCTATTCAGGATCCCAGATCTGTCAGGATCCCGAATCATTCTCAAGATCCTGACCATTGTTACCTAACACTCTTAACGGTCATATTTCTATTTCTTTTTCTCACATGTGTATCAATTGTCAATATGAGACTCATTCTCAACGAAGAATCGCTACAACTAAGCTTAAGATCCGTGAATACCAAGTCAAACAATGTGCATATGCTCATTCAAGAGGATCCCGGAAATATCGGACTTATTGTTACGTATTCTAGACTATAAATACACTTGAAATACACACACTACACACACAATTCGCTCTATTACTACATTTGTACTCGTATTATCTTCATCATTTATGTAATCTCACATTCAAATCAATAAAAATAACAAGGCAGGTGATCATTATCACCTCCCAAGGTTTTATGTCGGAGATCCTATAAAGGATCAAAGGCTTTCCTTGTAACTCATTTGTCTTACTTTGATCACTATTTGATATTTGTATTACCTTAAACACCACAACCTCTCATACAATTTGGTTGAATAATACTTGATCAATTTTTGACTAAAACACAAAATAGAAACTTTTTTCAACATTAAACTTCTAATTTGTTCTATTTTACTACAATACTTTTAAAGTCGCATATATTAAAATACAGTATCATCCTACATTGATAATTATATTTCAATATAGTTTAGTATTGAATTTTTACAAATTTTTTATTTTATTAATCTACTTTCATTGTCTATCTTATAAACACGTGGTTTCCACGGGTCTATAACGTAGTGTGTGTGCGTGTGTATAACATGTTTTTCTATTTTCACTTTTTTATAACAATGTACTTTTTTTACTAATGCACTTTCGCTTTTTATATCATATTTAAACATTATTGTTAACCAAGATTAACCATTAACTAATAAAAAACATTATCCATAACCAATCTTAACCATACCCAATGGCTACTGAAATGCATTAATCAGTTGTAATGGTTATGACTCGGTTTTGTCTAATAAGCGAACCAAACCGCCTCATACACAACTCTAAATTTTGGTACAAATTATAAAACAGACATTACATTATCATAACACAGTTTTCATATTCTTAGTAATACTACTACCGTCTCGATACACGTTAGCTATCCAACTACCCATTAAGGTTTCGGAAAAGCTCAGGAAGATGAGTGTTTGTGAGCTTTGTGCATTTATTAATCTCGACCTTCTTCTTCTTCTTTTGTTTTGGTTTGTTACATATATTACCATTTTGCGCCATTACTCTTCTGTTAGCAGCATTGGTTGCAGGCTTCATGCCATTTTTTTGCAAATCAAGCTCGATCTCCAGTATGTCGTGTGGCAACTCAATTCCCCTGAATAAATGTTTCAATTCATCATCAACCTTAAAGGGAACCTGAGGATCATTAGAGTAGGCTATGTCTTCCTTCGAGTCGGGATTTGATAATAGCCATATCTCTCTACCAGCTTTCAGGGCCTGAATTGAACAACATTTGTCAACATGAAGACCGAGTTGTTAAAAGAATTCAACAATGACTCTAAGGCGGCTAGAATTACCTGTAAATCTTCCACGATAGTAGGGTAGGCATCTTTGAGATCAGCAACAGAAATACCTTCTGCAAATGTTTGTATTAAACTCAAAAGTTCCTTCTTTTCTCTCACATTGTACTTCAACTGTAAAATAATAAATAAATAAAAATTTTATTTCACTAAATGTTAACAAATTATATATCATTAAAAGATTTAAAGTACCTTGTAAGAGAAGCGCTTTCCATCATAATTAACTTTTGAGTTGTTTGCTAAACTTTGAAACACGGCCTTGTTGCCTTTGACATCAACATAACATGCTTCATTTATTTGCTCTGCTGTGAAGGATTGCCTCTTCTGTATATATATAATATAATAAAATTAGCAATGCACTTTCATATATATAACCTAAATACTCTAATTAATTATTGGTGAATACCAATCACTAACATGGCTAAATCAAGAATATCATCTAAAGAAATCCAACATATACCAAAAACAAACCAAACCATTTATGGGCTTATAAGCATTATCACTAATTCACAATATCATATAATCAGATTGCAAATACAGATAATGAAAACAAAAACAAAACGATGTGCCAAGAAAATATGTCAATGGCACTTTTATAACCCATGTGTCCCAATTCTACATAAATTAACTAATAGAATAAGATGCACCCATAACCATAAAAAATTCCACCAAAAAGATACTTTGAAGAAGTTAAATAAACATAATTGACCATGTTATATTTCTGACATTGTTACATTACATGCATATTTTATAAACATATAGTGTTGAATACAACTGTAACTAGGTGCACAAATAAAAAGTACCAAATATTTCTTGAAGCTCCAGAAAATATACTTGAACAATGGTGTATTACCATGCACAATACAAGAACAGATAAGGTTTGTACCTTAAACAGCAGATCAATCACACGATAGATCTGAGCTTCGATAGGGCTCTTCCTTATATTATTAATAGACTGCAACCTCTTCGTGTCATTGGGGAATTTAAATGAAGGAGAAGATAATTCGGTCGAGGTGTTTGCAGGTGTTGCTGTCTTAACGATTGTTTTAGAACCTGCAATGCTTTTGCTCATTGGGGTTGACTGGCATTTCTCTTGTTGCTTCTTGAAGCTATTCAGACTTTCTTGCAGTGACGCCATTAGGGCACTGGTAACTTCGTAACCAAACGACTGTTATCATGATATAATTAGTGCTCTAATTGACTGGTTTATTCTTCCATTATTACAATAATACAAACGAGTGAAAAGATCTCATTCGGATTAGGATTAAGCAACCAATCATCAACTAAACTAAACGGCCAAAACGCGATTCAGCCGATCAAATTCAAATAAAACTTTTTGTGAATTTGAAAAGGGAACGCGAAATCGAAACCCAAGATACTGAAATTTTGAAAAAAAAAAACCATTCAAGTATTCCTTTAAACATAATGAATTGATCAGAAATTAAGTCAAAATTTGAAACCCTCTTAAACTTCAATTTGTAATCACACCAAACCCTTAATCGCATGATTATATAGTTGTTTAATTGATTATTAAAGTATATATACTTTTTAATATAAAAGGCTCGAAGAATATTGAAGAAAACTATATAATGATCAATCTAGAAAGCGTGGGAGATAAAAGAAGACCTCAAGAGATTTACAACACAAGGCTCTAACAGACTAGCTCACATGTCTTCCTTTTTATAAGAGAATGGAAGCGTCCAATTTATACTTTGCAACGATGTGGGATAAATTTATACGGTACAAATTTATTATTTCTAGACAAAACTTCAAAAATGGTCCTTGTGGTTTTCGAAAATATCAAGTTAGTCCCTAAGTTCAAAAAACCTCACAGATGGTCCCTGTGGTTTCAAAACTTTTAACAAATAGTCCTTTTTGTTAACTCCGTTAGCTTTTGGCCGTTAAGTGAAGGGTATTTCTGTCATTTCACTGCCATAGGGACCATTTATGAATATTTGTCTTATTTTAAAAAAAAACTAATTATTTAATATTAAAGGGTCTCTCTCTCTCTCTCTCTCTCTCTCTCTCTCTCTCTCTCTCTCTCTCTCTCTCTCTCTCTCTCTCTCTCTCTCCAAGTGGGTTTAGATCTTGGTTTCATCTTCTCTCTCTTGAACAAACACACATACAAATTGTTGTTAAAAACCGTGATCCAAGAACAAAACACAAGTGGGTTTGGAACAAATTCACGGTAATTGTCTTGTAGTAGCTGTAAAGCTTGCTTGGTGGCTAGTCGGAGCTCCCTCTTCCCCGACGTCGACAAGTTCTTCAGATCATTGACCTGAAAAATAGTATTTAAGCCGTCGGGACTAAAATCCAACTTTCTTATGCTCCTCTCAAGAAACTAAATCCTCCATTTCAGAAACCTTGTTCTATTTTCTTCATCAGAGAAGGTTTTATGATAAAGTTATTTGTTCTGAAACCCGCCATAGGCATCAGTTCTTAAGCATCGTGAAAGAATCTTTCACTTTGAAGTCTCTAACTCACAAGAACTTGAGCAAAATTACATCAGTTCGATCGCCTTTAAGAAGAGGTATGCTCCAAGTTGAGATCTCATCGGGATTTGATTTGATTTTTGAAGTGGTGTTTTCTGATGAAGATGAAAACGCAAAATATTTGTTGGTAATGGCTTCTTAAACTAGCTGTTTGAACTCATTGAATGATACCTTCTCCAAACATGATAGATCTCTGATTTTGTTGCTCTCTTCTTTGAAAGAAATCATGGATTCGGGGATATTCTTGGGGTCACGTGATAAAGTTTTTTCTGGTGGTTTTATTAGTTGCAAAAACACGAATTTACCTGCACATGATTGGAATTGAGAAATCGAGACTGGTTGAACAATTCCAATGGTTTCTTCCGACCTAGACTAGTGAATAAGGGTCTTCTGATTTTGTTGCTCTCTTCTTTGAAAGAAACCATGGACTATGATTGATGGTGGTGATTTGGTAGAAGTAAGGTGAAGGGAACGAAAATGGAGGTAGGAGATACTTATTTTACTGTTGAACAATCGAAATAAAGGGGTTGATGAAGGGAAGGGATGACGGTGGATCTGTGTGTTTTGATCGGAGTAGAGGCATGAAATCACTTACCTTGGGCGGTGTCACCTGGTGGTGATGATGGTAGAAGGAGTAGATAACAGCTTCGATTCTAATGGAGAAGGTGGTTCGATGTTTTTGAGAGAGAGAGAGAGAGAGGAGAGATAGAGAGGGTGGGACCCTTTAATATTAAATAATTAGTTTTTTTTTTAAATAAGACAAATCTTCATAAATGGTGCCTGTGGCAGTGAAATGACAGAAATACTCTTCACTTAACGGTCAAAAGCTAACGGAGTTAACGAAAATGACTATTTATTAAAAGTTTTGAAACCACAGGGACCATCTGTGAGGTTTTTTAAACTTATGGACTAAACTTGATATTTTCGAAAACCACAGGGACCATTTTTGAAGTTTTGTCTTATTTCTAAGTTAATAGGTAATTTTTTTTTTCTTAAAGCAACATTCTCAAGCTCATGAGATTTTTCCCATGTTTTGTATTATGCTTTATGTTTGATATTCGTGTAATTCGTATATTACATGATTTGATTAAAAAATATTAAATATTAAAAGACCTTTTAAACAATATGTATATTACATGGTTTCCGATTGGTCCAATTTGATTTCGGCTAGAAACCTAACAGAAGATCATGTTTTAATCTATATATCAAAATCAGACCATACACACAACACATGTTATATAATGTTTGTTACGTACATAAAGAATTCTATAAAGATGGTAAACTGAATTGGTGAGATGAGCTTGAGTAAAAATTGATGATTAGTTAGAGTCTTATGGGTTCTTTTTTATATATCATAATGGACAACATTAAGATGTTTGGCAAGGTGCTCCTCTCTTAATGGGTTGAGAGTTCAGCCAAAAACAATGTCATTGATTTCCGATAAAAAACAGATAAAAAAACCCTACTATGAATGCATTAATATGTAGTGCTAAATAAATCCCATCCCAATCTTGGACAGTGCATATCCAGTAAAAACTAGAATTACATACATTTCAATGGAGTATTGTGCCTAAAAGACAACTTTTAATCCAATTTCAAGGCTTGCAATTAAGCTATATAATTGGTCTTTTTACATTCACTACTCTTGTTGACGACATCATCATTACATCCTTGAAAATAATCGATCTCATAAGAAAATTTACAAAAATTTACAGTTCATCTGCAACCTTATTAACAATCAAGCAAGAAAAAAATTATAATTAACAATAAGATTACTCATATATAATTTTGAACATTGATACTCAATGATTATTTCAAACATATTTCAACAACGGATTCATGCCTTAATGATAGATGCCTACTAGGGATTAGCACCACGGTTTATTCTTCCTACAGCTTGGGTATGCTTGTCCTTTTGTAGTGCTACGTACCTTGGCACCTATTTTTTTCCCACCCAGCGATGTGGGATAGGCGGAATAGCCAAGAAACTATCCTTTGTTGCTTTCTTTCGTTTCAACTTAGTGTATTTTATTCTCCTTCATAATCAAAACAATCATCTGAATTTATCCACCAAATACCCCATATAAATATAATAAAAATATAAAACTAAACTTAAAAATAACAATCGAAGTTTTCCATATATATATATATATATATATATATATATATATATATATATATATATATATATATATATATATATATATATATATATATATTAGATGATTAGAAAGAAACACATAAAAAAAATATGAAAGTTAGGTGTAAGAAACAAGTTGTATGAATGGAATAACATGAACAAAATTAAGGGGACAAATTGTATAAATATATATTATTAATTAAATAACTATAATTATATATAATATAAATCCACTCTAATAAGAGCATCTCCAATGGTTAACCCATGTTATAACTTAAAATTATTGTCACCTCATAATCTATTAATTTTGGGGAAATCTTCGGAAAAGTCCTAATATTTCACCATAATTTACGAAAAAATCTCAAACTAAAATTGGTTTATGAAAAAATCCCGATTACCGGATAAAATGACGATTTGACCCTTTTTTCCGGTTTATCGGTTTCAATACTTACTCGGTTTCATTAAAGTCCCATTATTTTACCATAATTTTCATTAAAGTCCCATTATTTTATCATAATTTGGGACTTATTCATAAATTATGGTAAAATAATGAGACTTTATTAAAACCGGGTAAATAATGAAACCGGTAAACCGGGAAAATAGGGCCAAATCGTCATTTTTACCGGTAATTGAGACTTTTTCGTAAACAAATTTTAGTTTGAGACTTTTTCGTAAATTAAGGTAAAATATTGGGACTTTTCCGGAGATTTCCCTTAATTTTGACCTCTAAATAAATGACTTCTCCAATGGTTAAACTTATTTTAATAGTTTTTTCTATAAATTTAAATAATTTACCTTCAACTATCTAAAATGTTTTATAAAACATCTAATTTAATTAATCCTTTTTTAAACACAAATCATATTTTAATATGAAAATATATAATACAACTATATCTTTTTTTAATTTATATACATAAAATATGAAAAATTATTATATTTTAGTTATAAAAATACAACAAAAACATTGACAATATTACAAATTAGTTATAAAATGACATATTTTTAAAATGGAAGGGGTTAAAATATACAAGTTACCATACTATATTGAGTGGTCAAAATAAAAAAGCAAAAAAGTTGTTTGCTTCAATTGTTTTAAGTGTTAATTTAAAAAAGGTAAATAGTAATGCACTATAAAAAACCTCCCATTGGAGATGCTCTAAATGAAGGTTTTTTTTTTTGTTATTTGTCACACTCTCATTAAATTTGTCAAATGTCATTTTATGGTTATTTTGAATTTTTTTTTTCCACATGTCATTTTATGAGTTTTTTTCTATTTTATTAAATCTCACATAATATTTTAATGTAATAATTGCAACAAATATAGTAATAAATGGATATCAATTGTATTAATCAACTTACCTTTTAATTTCAAAATTCTCAAAATTAAAACTCATTAGTTTCCTTTGTTTATTTATTTAAATAATTTGTTTAAATTTAAAAGATAAAAAACATTTGCATTATAATAATTCATTATTTTTTTATTTTCTTATAAATTCAAAGTTCTCA